GACAACAATAGTATTCTATTTAAATAGCAGTTAAAAGAAAGTGTACGGCACCTTAACTGTTCAATATCTTTCTTGAAATAGCTTTTAAATCCACAAAACATTTACATATTTATATGCAAATATGTGTCAGAGCTGTATATTTTCAAAATCTGCCATATTTATTTACATTAGAACCCAAGCTATCGCCGTAAAAATCACTCGAGTGAAACCGCGACCGCGATAGCTTGGGTTCATAGGCTTGGGTTCTAATGTAAATAAATATGGCGGATTTTGAAAATATACTGCTCTGGTACGTATTTGCATATAAATATGTAAATGTTTTGTAGATTTAAGCTATTTCAAGAAAGATATTGAACAGTTAAGGTGTCGTACACTTTATTTTAACTGCTATTTAAATAGAATACTATTGTTGTCAAATTGCATTGCTCCTAAAGCCTGTGGCGCATCAGGGTACATTGCTACTTAAAGGGTTGAGAGGATGCATGGGAAGTTTGTTTGGTTAACCCATTGAGTGGCAGGATTCAAAATAAAATACTCAGAATAAAATGCTAAAGTGGGGGGCATCAGGGTGCATTGCCACTTTACAGGGTACATTCTCTCAAAGATTAATATAGTGTCATCTTACTACATTCTGTAGATATAGTGTGGATGTCACTTCGAGTGTGCAGCTGTTGCCGAGGGAAGGATGGTGCACCTTGCAAGCACCAGTACCTCATTTGGGCTGCAAATATTGCCACATGTGTCAACTTTGTGCCAATTTCTGACCCAGATGAATGGCAAAAGTTGGCAGCTATTGCATTGGGCGGTTCATTGTCGCTGACCTACTATACCTCATTACGTGGACAGAGAAATGAAACACATGATGATGTAGATGGTGGTGATTCACAACAGCCTGCAGACCATGCTGATGAAATACCAATGACCACTTCTCAATTGAACTTGACCACACATAGCCCTGATGCAAGTGATGGTGGAGACAAAGCAAAGTTGATGGTGAGAAATTCTTCAGTCCAGAATGCATGCAGTGTTCTTACAGAAATGCTACAAAGCAGTCAAGATGCGAAACTTTGTGAAGCTGCCTTGAGATTCTCAGAAAGGCTAACACAGGTCACCAGTTCAAGTTTACCAAATGGAAAACTGGCCTCAGCACTCTTTGATTTTGGACAAAGTGAGCTTTGTAGGGGCAAAGTTCAAAGTTTCGTGTTCAAAGAAGTCTGGATCTCATGTGATGCAGTCAAAAACAAGACATATATCAAAATAAATGATAATCAATCTGCAGGCCTGTTGATGTACAGTTAGTCATGCATCACTGTACTTTTCCAGTCAGTATTGTCAATAGAACATTTGTATGATGATGTATTGTCACTTGTTTAACTACAACTACCAACATTATCTGCTGGTATCTTTCTCATTTACCCTGGATCATGCTGGTAACACATTCTCATACAGTAGTTGCCGTTAGACAAGAGAAAATACATCATCATGCAAGTGGCTCTGTAGAAACAGTTTTGAACTTTATACAGTATTCTAATTTATGTTAATCCACTCTGTAAATATGTAGTTGATACTTTATGTAAAATAACAATTAGTTGATATTTCAAGAATATACAATATACATAACATACACAGTTGTTGTTTTTGAGAATATACACAGCCAAGGTTTTTGAAGATTTCTAGCCAAGATTTAGAATGAATATACACACTAGTTAACCTGAGATTCTGCCCCAGAGTTGAATTGTCTTTACACAAAGAATGGATGTTTTTGTACTAATTTGCATTCCACAGACATGGCAAGAAAGTTTCTCCCCAGAGTGAATAGATAGATGTCTGGTAAGATTACGCTTGCTAGCAAAAACCTTTCCGCAGTCCTCACATTTGAATGTTTTCATATGAACTTTTTATCCATGTGTTTTTTTAATAATGATGAGTGGCTAAATACTTGGTCACACTCACTGCAATTGATTGCAGCACAACCTTTGCTGCGGTAGCAAAAATTTTTCTCTCAATTAAAATATTTAAGGCGCTTCATCCACTGCCTTTTTTCTTCAGTTAGCCCAGTGTCGAGATCTTCTCTTCTTCTTTGGGCTTCATTTCTCCATTCCTAAAAGATGGATACATGTAGTTTAGTATGTGGCTTGTTATCGATTATTTAAAGGTAAGTACTTTAACCATTAATGCCCAAAACTTTGCCCTTGATGAGTAAAATGGGTTAGAAATATATTTTAATGTGATAGAAAACCAGATTGAACAGCATTCCACCTAGTGTAATTCAGTTTTCTGGTAAAATGTCATGATTTCGGCAGTTGGTGGGCATTGTGTCTGAATATGTTTATAAAAAATTATAAACCATTAATGGAAAATGCACCAAACTTTACTGTTTTTCTCTGTCAAATGTCAGACAAGGTGGGTTTATAAAAAGCACTGGCTCAGGGTTTCCAGATTGCCGAATATATAAGCCAATCATTGTTATAAACCGCCCTTCAATGTCTTTGTTTCAAACAAAGAAAACAAAGGTTATGATAATATTTGGCTTATTTATTCAGCAATCTGGCAACCCTACACACCAGCTTGGATACACCAGAATGTAATGCACCAGTCAATGTAACCCCCCCCCCCAAAACCAGGGAGGGGTGGGGGTCTCCACCCCGGGACATGTTCCCACATGTCTCTCAATCCAAGAAAAATAGTTATGTTAACCACTGAATCCATTACCCCGTTTTCGTCCCCACATTGTTTACCAAAAGAGAAAATGTCGTCCAAGTCCCCCATCATCTGGGACATATTTACAATCAAAACTTACCACTTTGCCCACCAAATCCCCCTCCCCGGTTGGGGGGGGGGGGG